AAATTTTTTTATTTTTTACTGATTGAAATGATCCTGTAAATTCAATTGTTGCAAACAGTCTAATAGTCATCATTGACAATATAAAATCACCAGTTAATTTCACATCTTGAAATAAATATATATTCTTAATTGTATTTCCATTATAGATAGTTATATCTTTTTCAATTAACATTGTTGCATAATTAACGGAATTGTATTGTAAATCAATTTCAAATAACGTTTGTGAAATATTTAAATAACACCTTGTATATTGGTCATCACATGGACAATGGGGATACTCAAATGGATAGTCTTTTATGTTATTTGTGACATTGAAATACTTTTGATATCGTGAAGATATCATTGTACACATCACAACAGGGATTACGTTTCCAGTTGGGCAGTATCTGATGAGCCTATTGTGTGATATTAGTATGGCGATTCCTGATGTATATTTAATTGGAAAAAGCGAAGAGTTGTAATTTCCATAATTAACAAATGATGTTAAAACATCGGGAGAGTTCATTGAAATAACATCAAAACACGTTGTTTTTAAATCAGGATTTGTAATAATAAAATTTTTGTTATAATCAAAATTGTAGTTTAAGTGGATATATAAAGATTTCCATACCAATACCTTCGGCTTATCAATATCAGCTCCTTTTATTGCCAAAATATTTGCAATCGAAAAATTTGAATTGATAATTAAAGTTCCATTATCAATCGACAAAGTGTTGTTTGTATGAATAAAAGTATCAAATATTACAGTTGCACCACTTAAAATGTTAAAATTCTCAACATTTAAATAAGACATTTCTGTCTTTTGTATGGCAGTTAGTGTCAACGAATCGTTGCATACAAAAGTATCAAAATAGGCTTGTTGAGTAAAAGGAAAATACATGTCTTGTTGATAATAATAAGTGTTATTTGTCGTGTTTAAATAACACAAAGTGTTGTTTGTGTTTGAGTAATCAACATCAGTAAACCCATCATACCAATTTGTTCCTAATGCATAGCACAATTGAGTGATATTTGCTTTGGTATGAACAATTAATGTGAATAATAAATACACTAAATACATCTTTTAATGTGACGAACTAATTAACTTTAATTATTTTGGTGTTTGTTTTATAATTAATATAATTAATATGAGCTTTTTAAATAAAACAAATTCGTCAAAATACCAAAAAGTTATGTGTGGCTCAATTATTTAATAGTATTTTAAATGTTTTTTGAATAATCAATATTGGTAAATCAAATTTATAATCACTTAGTTGTAATTCCAAAATTATTGAATTCAATGTTTTTTAAATTATTTATTATTATAATATAAAAAATTTTATTTAAAGATTTTTTATTATTTTTTTGGCTGACATAATTACTGTTATGTTATAAACACGAAATTGATTATATTTTACCAGTAACAAATTAAATAAAATGTGTGTAAAATAATTATGTGGAGTGATAATAGATTTCAAATTGATAATATTATTTAAGGAATATACAGTGTTTTTCTTAAATTTACATCTTTTTTATAAATTATATTTGTTATGAATTATATAATTTTTTACTAATAAATACAACTTTTTTATTAAAATCAAAAAAAACAATAATGTCAATAATATGCGGTTGTACAGTTGACCAAGTGATTAATAGAGACCAAATAATTGTAAGAAGGGTGTATTTCCCATTAATTACCTTGTAAATAACGGGTTTTAGAAAAAGTGAAAAAAGGTACACCTAAAAATGGTAAGAAATTTAAATTTATTTTTATAATAGTTTTTATCTAAAGTTAAAAAATATTAAATTTACTTCTTACAATTATTTGGTTACTAACTATTTTTTTGTTAACAGTAATTGTTTTTTGTTTAATAATAAAATAACATTTTTAAATAGTCTCATTAAATCACAAGTAACTAATTAATCATCAAATGGAAAACGAGTTGAAAACACTTTTTACGCTCTACATAACAACAATAAAGGCGGTTTCGGATTTCAAAAATTTAAAGATGCAATACGATTTTGTTGACGACAAGTCACTTGACATTGACGAACGCATTGAAAAAGCAGAGGGACACTTCGACAGACTTGATGAAGTATTTGAAAGAAAGAAGAACATCACAACTTCTTTCAACATAGTCGTCACTGGTTTAGAAAACATATTAAACAGCATCAAAAGTGAGTTGGCTTTATATTCAACACATATTGATAATGAGAAGTTATATGAAATCTACAACGTCAGAATTTCACTTCTTGAAGAGAAATGTCAACTAAGTTTAGAACTTCATAAAGACGATATCAATACACTAATTCAATCAAAGAACAACAAAATCGATGAAATATTAAAATCAGAAAAATACATCAATTCAAAAAAACAACACGACGAAGATGAAAGAATGAAGCTCGAACACATTACACTTGAAGAGAAAGAAAGTTTAAGAAGGTTGACAGGAAAGAAAATTGAAAGTGTTCTGTTTAATTCCGACATAGACGACTGGTCACAAAACACGTCTGTTTTTGATGCAAAAATAGTCAACAAAAGCAATTTGTGTTTTTTAATCGAAGACACTAATCACAACAAGTTTGGTGGCGTGTACATTGGAAAAATCAAAACTGTTGATAAGTGGCTTTTGGAAAAAGATTCTTACATATTTTCACTTGTGAGAAATGGCACTTTGAATCCAAAAAGATTTGGAAATCGTTTAAATAGCACCAACCATTATTTATATATTTATCCTAAAAATGAAACACATTGCTTTGGATTTGGTTATGGTCATGATATATGTTTGTACAAGAAAGGAACAGATCGTAGGTCTTATTGTAAACCTTCAACTTATTATGCGCTTCACAACGATTTAGCTGATAATGACGAATTCACACCAAAAAGTGTTGTTGTTTTCCAACTTAAAGATACTTTTTGATGTTATTTGTTTTTTTGTGTTTCTATTTTTAAAAAGTTTTTAAATTAAAGCTTTCACGGAACTGTCCTTTTTTTAAGAAAAAAACATGTAAAGAATGTTGTCCACATCATGTTGAATTTTTATTTTATTTGAAATATTCTTCTTTATACAAACCAACCATTAGTTGGTTTGATTTCATTTTATTTTATTAAAATGAGTACTTAACGAATTAAGATTAATCAATAATAATCTTTTGTATTATATTAATTATTAATTTTTTCATGTCTCAAAATATTTTATAACTAACACAACATCGTCAATCCACATAATAATAAAAATTTAAAAGTCATATTTGACATTTATAAAAACATATTAACTAAACTTTTTATTAAATTAAATTTCAGAATCATATATGTCATCTAGTCGTTTTACGACTCTATCCATATCAGGTCTCTCTCTGGGGTCTTGTTTCCACATTTCTTCAATCAAAGCTTTCTGTTCTCCATCTCCCAATTCAATTGCCGGTCGTTCCCCTCTGGAAATCAAATTTGTAATATCCCAACTGTATGGAAACAGCTTTTCATCAAACGTGTCTTTCCATGTTAAACATTCCAAAACAGTAATTGCAAATGAATACACGTCTGCTGAAAGTGTATACTTTTCAACATTGGTGATTTCAGGCGCCATATACTTTGGTGTTCCAATACCCTTTGTGTACATCATGTTATCACACAAACTGTTGACATTTCTCGACGCTCCAAAATCAGTCAATTTTCCATTGACCTCGTCGTTAAAATCGAGTGAAGTTACGAGTGTGTTGTCCGACTTGATGTCTCTATGAAGAGTGTTATTTGCGTGTAAATACTGAATTCCCTTGGCAGTGTCCAACATCAGTTTAATTCGCATTTTCATGACAACTTCGTCAGACTTTTTATGTTTCATCATGTCTTGCAGACTTCCATGTTTAGCCAATTCAGTGACCATACATATCCGATTTGGTATGAAACACGCTCCATAGAATCTTATGACGTATGGGCTCACAAACTTGGCCAACATCGCAACTTCCTTTCTGAATTCGTCCATCTTTTTATCCATCTGTTTCTCAGCCGCTGTTTTGTCTCTTGTTGTCATCGAAGAGTTGTTAGTCGTGTTATTTTTAGTCATATTTTTCGTTGCGTTCTTTGTCAAATTTCGATTTGAACTTTCAACAGTCGAATTCTTTGTAAACCCTTTTGCTCCTAATTTGGCGACAACCATTTCCTTCATCTCTTTGATGGCAACAACATTCCCTCGATACGTACCTTTGTACACAATCCCAAAACTTCCTTCTCCAAGTTTTCGCTCTTTCTTCAACTCGTCCGGGTCAAGTGCTGTCGACATTTCCGACGCAAATTTGACTGGGATTTTAATTTCTGATATTTTGCCTTTGTTGATGTTTAAGACTGAACAAGTGATGTCAACAGTTTTCTCAAGTGTACACAGTGGATGAACAGAAACAGTAAATTCAACAGCACGACCTTTCTTGATACTTACTGGAATGGAAGGTTCAACATTCAACTCAAACTTTTCTTCGTAGTTTTGTGTTGTGAATTGAATTTTTAAAAGAGATGCTCTGTCGTTGCCAATCATAAATTTGGACTCGCTGTCTTTTTGAACTGCAATTTCGTTTTCAAAATGTATTTCTTTTGTTGAACACAAAATACGTTCTTTTTGAGCGCCAAGATACACCATATCAACACCTTTCTTTTTCAAATCCTTTAACAGAAATTCATTCACAAGTGACTTCCTTAACATCTCTTCTTTTCTGTAATGAATATAGAAGAGTATACAACTTATTGTTATGATGATAAGAACAACCATTAAAATACCAAAAATGATTGGAAATATAATTGCAAGCACATTTGTCTTGTGAACACACTCGTCTCCATTCGGTCCAATTTTGTTGCTTCCACTACATTCACTACATTTCTGTGTTTTTGTATTGTATGACTTACAATTTGCAATTGATTTCCATTTCACACACTGTGATGTTTTAGATATCAAAACATATTGATCGACACATATAGAGCATGTGTTATTGTCTGAACAAGTCGCACATAAGTCATTGCATTTTGTGCATTTGTAATACTTGTTTTGATAATACCCATCATAACACACAGCACACCCATACTCCGAAAACATTTCACAATTGTCAAGTGTTGTGTTGATGACACACTTCTTATCTTCTATTGTTGTAAATTCGACGTCTTCGTAATACCCATTTTTCACATTGCACTTCACACAATTCGAAACATTTCCAACACAACTCGAACACTTTTCGTCACATTTTACACAATCTGTATTGATGAGGATATACCCCTCGTTGCATGTAGCACAATCGACACCACTTGGTAAGAACAGTTTGCACTTCTCAGCAAGTTCGCCAACATAAATACAGTCGTTGCTTGTTGTGTCAAAATAATATCCAAAAGCACATGTAACACAACTTCCTGCATTTTTAGAACAACTTGAACACTTCTTATCACATGGAAGACATTCATTACCACTCAGATAATATCCGTCATAGCACTTAGCACACCCCGTGTTGCTGTTTTCCTTGCAGTACCCAGTCTTTACTTCGGTGCTACAAATTGATTCGCCTTCATTAGATGTTCCAAGTGAGATTTGTGAGTCACATTGCAGGCAATCGCTTGATGATGAATATGAACATTGCGTTGTTTCCATTGATACACACTTTTTGTTTTCGTCAAATTTGTACTTCTCTTCACAAATTGCACATTTTGAAGTTGATAAGTCGACGCTCTGGCAATGCACAGTCGACATATCAACACATTGTGTGTCACTTTTTATATATTCGTCTTCACACAACGTACATTGCACCTCATTGTTTGTTGTAATAACAATGGATTTGCAGTGAATTTCACTTAACATATTACATGACCCAAGTAATAGGTAATACCCTTCATTACACACAGTACATCCACTTGGCGTTGAAACCAAACAATTTGAAAGTGAAACACAACTTCCATTAACAAGAGAAAACCCATTCAAACATAACTGACATGTAGTAGGTGTTGTGCAAGTCAGACAATTATCTCCACAGGACTCACATTGTGGTGGATACTCTTTATTTAAAAAGTATTTAGAATAACATTTTATACAAAGTCCATTCGATAACGCTTCACATCCAACATCTTCACTTTTTAATGTTGTAAATGTTTTAGTTTGTGTGGGTTCGATGTATGTTTTACACTCGAAAGTGTTGTCATTTTCCAAATAAAAGGAACATTTTTGTGTTCGTTCCATATTGGAACAAATTCCATTTAAGTTGATCGAGTTGGAACATTCTACACACCCAAACCCTTGTTGGTACTTCTGACAGTATTTGTGGTTCTCATATGATAATTTTGCATCTAAACGAGCCGTGTGCTCAAACGAGTTTGTATATTGGCAATTCGTTCCGTTCGTACAAGTCGAACATCCCGTAGTACACTCAATTTTATATCCCTCACTGTCTATCAAATTTGTTGTTGTCACACATTTTTTGTGTTCTCGAGACTCAAATGCCATGCCATTTTGGCAAGCAGAGCACTCCAAATTGTCAATGTCAATTGTTGAATCGAGTTGTTTGTAATCACATGAATAACACCCATAAAACAAATTGGAACACTTCATACCGACACTATCTGACACTTTGAACTCATCTGCTAAAATATCAACGCAATTTCCTTCAGTATCCAATATCTGTCGATTTGATTCGCAATTTGTTGCTTTTTTAATACTCATCGAAGTTGTTTTTGCAACACAATTATTGTTTACATCCAACATAAATTCAGTAAAACATAATATACAAGTTGATGAATTGTCGCACAAAACGCAGTTACTTAATGTTGTGTCACATTTTTTACACACACCATCTTCCAGATAAAATCTTTTTGACTCACAATTTTTAATGGTATTTTCTGTTGTTGAACATTTTCCACTATTTTGATGTTCATCGAAACACATTTTGCACATGTTAGTTGCTTTGTCGAGAGTGTACGGATTCTCACACATTTCACAAATTCTATTGATATCACATTTAACACATTTTGCAATGTCACAATCTTGAGAACATATTTGAGTACTTCCATTGTTGTACAAATTGAGTCCATCAGTGCATTTTGTGCACGTCGTTTCATTTTCACATTGTAAACAACCAAATAGTGCGTCACACCCAACACATCGATTGTTCTTCAAAAAGTAGTGTGGCTGACATGAAAGCACCTTTTTCATTGTACACGTGGCAGAGTTACTAAAAATGTTGTTACATAATTTACACTCGTTGTCGAGGTAATACCCATCTTTGCACGTGTGACATTTCTTTGATGTTGACGAACATGTTTTGCACCCATTGATTGTGAGACACGATTTGCACTTTCCATCGTCTGGATAATATCCATCGACACAATGCAAACACGTGAGTTCATCAGAGCAGCTTATACATTTATTGAGAGTTGAACATGACTCACACAGTTTATTCTTTTTGAAGTAATTTTGGGCACACAACAAACATTTGTTTGGTATTGTGTTATCACACAAAATACACCCATTTAAAAAGGAACATGACAAGCATTTAGAAGAGTCTGTTTTCTTTGTAAAGTTGGTTACACACGTGTCACAAGTTCCATCTGAAGAACACAAAAAGCAATTATCCACCGAGCATTTGCTGCATTGTTTGTTTAAATCAAGATAATGTCCTTCTGCGCACGAAGTGCATTCATTTTTAAAACTTGTCTTACACCCAATTACAACATCATCACATGGCTTGCATCGACCTTCAGACACCAAGTAATTCTTTTCACACAAAGTGCACATTTCACCGACCCCTTGAAGGCACTTCGCTATTTTTACACATTCTCCTTCATTGTTTATAAACATATCCATGCATTTTGTACACTTTCTTGTTGAAGTCTCGTTGTTTGTGAGATAATTGATGCATTCAG